AAATAAGTCAGACAGAGAAAACAAATACCATATGATGATACTTACATGTGGAATCTAAGAAACAAAATAAATAATCAGAAGAAACCCATAGTTATAGAGAACAAACTGATTGTTGCCAGATATGAGGGGAGCTGGGCTGGGTGGAAAAAGCGAACAGCCTAGGAAGTACAAATTTGTCAGTTACAAAATTATCCTGGGAATGTAAAGTACAGCATCAGGAATATAGTCAATAATGTTATAATAAATATGTATGGGGCCAGGGGGTGCTAAACTAATTGGGGAGAGCACTTCAAAGGTTATATAAATGTCTAACCACTATACTGTACATGTGAAACTAATATGATGTTGAATGTCAACTGTAACAGAAAATGTTTAAAAGAATTTAAAAAATAAGCATATTTTAAGCTGAAATAAAACTACGTAATTTGAAATTCAAAAAACATAAAGGTCGGCTGTTTCTTTTTATACTTTTGCAATGGGGTTACTAGAATATTTAAAGTTACAATGCGACTTGTGCTATATTCCTTTAGGCAGCTCTCCTCTAGATAATACCAGACTGGGAAGGCTTCAAGTGGGTGTAATTTTAGTGTCCAGAAATGTGAAATGACCAACTTTTAAATTCAAGAACATTAGAAATCCCCTGTGAATGAGGCAAGATTCCATTTAACCAGATTGCTTCTGACGATACACCCTCAATGACATTTTTTTTAAAGATTTTATTTATTTATCTTTAGAGGGGAAGGGAAGGAGAAAGGGAGAGAAATATCAACGTATGGTTGCCTCTCATGAGTCCCCTCCTGAGAACTAGCCTGCAACCCAGGCATATGCCCTGACAGGGAATCAAACCACGATCCTCGGTTTGCAGGCCCGCACTCAATCCACTGAGCTACACCAGCCAGGGCTCAATGACATTATTCTTAAAGGCCAGAAATCTCTTTATGTGTCACCTACTATACATTTGGAAGGCCCAGGTTTGAGGATGAGCCCTCCTACGATCTCACCAATTTCATCATCTGAACTTTCATACAGTCTTTTCCCAAGAGCCTTACCTTCAGTTGTTGTCTCAGGATGTTTTCTGAGCATTATATGTTTGGGTCTTTAGAAAAAATATAAGAAGATATCATCTAATACTCTCCTGGTGTTCAAATCTTCTGCTAGTGGTGATGTCACCAGACTCTTGGTGATGAAAGCATTAGAAAGTCATAATGATACATTTGGTAACAAGTTCTTCTCATGGTTACCAGATGGTAGAACTTTGTCTCATTTGAAAAAGTAAAGGATTTAAAATATTTTGCTTTTAGGGTTTTATTGTTGTTTTTGTACTTCCTTACCTGTCTCAATGACTGGTTTTTACTTACAGAAGTGAACAGTGTGCTGGGGGGGGGGGGTGTGTGTGTGTATGGACACCACAAAAGTGAAACTTTTTTTATTCTTCAGCCTCTGTTAGGCATTGTCCAATTACCCCAGGTAAAGCTAATCCTTCTTAAGTTTCCTTAGGATGTTTGTTTCTTTTCAAAATTAATCAATCAATTAATTAATTATTTAAAGAGAGGGAGAGAAACATCAATGTATGGTTGCCTCTCACTTGGCCCTCACAGGGGACCTGGCGCATAGCCCAGGCATGAGCCCTGATGGGGAATCAAAGCAATGACCCCTTGGTTCACAGCCCATGCTCAATTCACTGAGCCACACGAGCCAGGGCAGAATTTTTTAAAATACTTATTTTCTCATTATAGAAGTAACACATTTCCACATTATGACATTTGTCATGTGCATAAAAGCTCAAAGAAGAAAATGACACTCAAATATAATCACACTGTCCTGAGATAACCGCCCTTAATTTGAGATGACAGTCACCTTTGTTTTGCCCTTCCTCCTTAAAAATAAATTTGTTTTTTATATTGAAAAAAGAGACACTCAGAGTAAAAAAGCTGTAACAGAAAAAAGTTTACATTAGTGCACCTGACTCTTTCCCATATCCCCATCTCCAGTGGCAACTACTGTTAGTGGTTTGTTGGGTTTTATTTATATTTTATACATATAGAATATGTATATTCCCCCTTCTTTGCACAAATGGCAGTATATTAAAACCACTCTTCAGTACTTTGAATTTCTCACTCCTCAGTGAATATTTTGAAGATCCTTACATTCCATCTCATACACTTAACATTCTAGTGAACTGTATTTCATTACATGACCATATCGTAATTTAAACAGCTTTTTATAGTCAGAAATTTTGGTTGATTATTGTCTTTGATGTTGTAAGGAATGCCACAGTAGACATACTTGACTATGTTCTATGAGCACATAGTGAACTATATTATAGGATGAATTCCCAGAAATGGAATTGCTGGATCAAAGGTTATACCCATTTAAAACTTAAGTAAATGTTGCTAAATTGTTTTTCATAGTGGTTGTTCCAGTTTAACTCATAGAATCAGTGGATGAAAGTACATATCCATTTCCTCACACCCTTATCAATATAGTGCATTGTTAAAACTTTGGTGTTTGACATCTGAAAGGTGTATATTGTATCTTAGTGTAGTTTTAATTTGCATTTATTTTACTATGGCTGATATTGAGCATCCTTTTGCGTGTTTAACAGTCATTGCAGCCCTGGCTGGTAGATTGAGTGTCAGCCTGTGAGCCAAAAGGCCCCCAGTTTGATTCCCAGCTGGGGCACATGCCTGGGTTGAAGGCCAGGTCCCCAGTGGGGCATGAGAGGCAACCGCACCTTGATGTTTCTCTTCTTCTCTTTCTCTCTCTCTTCCCTCTCTCTAAAAATAAATAATATCTTTAAAAAATAAAATGAAGAGCAGAATTTAAAAAAAGCAATGTGGCAGTTAATCACAATTTAAGCACACACCATACAATCTGGCAATTCCACTTCTAGATATTTACCCAAGAGGAAGGAAAACATCAAAAATGTTTATGGTTTTTCATAGCAGTTTTATTGGCAGTGGCCAAAAGGTGGAAACAACCCAAATGCTTGTCAACAAGTGACTGGATAAACAAACTGGGGTAGTGCTCAGAGATAAAAAGAACAAAGTATTGATACGTGCAAGAACACAGATGGACCTCAAAGTCATTATATTGTAAAACAAGCCAGGCCAAAATAAAGAGCAAATGCTCTATGCTTTTATTTATATAAAACCTTAAATATGCCCGTTTTTATGTTTTGGCTACATCAATCCTAAATTCAAGGAGCACCGGTATCATCTGTCCAGTATGGAAGGTGAAATAGGAAGGAATTTCCTCTCCTTACCCCTTGGAGCTAAAACACGGGCACATGTTCTAAACTATCTGGCGTGCTTATTAGATTCTTCTTTCTACCTGGGACTTCAAACCTTAAGGGAGGTCACTTAATGAGAATATTTGTAATATAGTCAAGAACTAACATTATGGCAGATGTTTCCAGCTACAGCAATCAGGACTGCATCAGGCACACATATCATAAATATAAACGTAACTACTATAAGTGTGCATTGTTACATAAAGCGTATATCTTTATATGTAAACTGATGATTTGTCCTTTTCCTCCCCCTACTTACTTTAATGAGAGGTGTTCTTTTCCTTTTCAGTTTAGATCGCTGCTCGCCACGCTGAAGAGCCACGTAGTCCTGAGGGAGAGGACCTCCTGTCATCTGATGTTCCTGGACGTGGTGAGGGAAACTACTTTGGGTTTCACTTTTTGGCAATAGAGTGATTCTTTGTTTGTACATAAGTTAGTTAAATTCTGCAAGATGGAAACATGTTTTATGAGTTAGGTATGAGTAGAAGGGGGAGAATGGGAGCTTCCTGGCAAGATGGGTGGACGGGCAGCCATTCATTTGCTGTACTCTCAGATGGATCTCTGTTTTTCCCCACCCTCTGCTCAGTGTGGCAGAGCCTACAACTCCCAGACTCCCTTGCATCAGGCAATGAAAGTCACTGGCAGAAGAGAGCAGAATAGAAGAAAAGCCTCTGTCTCCTAATCTCTCTCTCTCTCTCTTTCTGCTCACTTGAATGGCATCTTTAGCAGTGACTAGAATTTCTCTTGTCCCAGCTCACGTCAGGCAACTCATGCTGCATTTGAGTCCTTTTTGGGCACTTTACGATGTGTCCTGAAGCCCTAGAAGGGTTATTGCCTTCATTTAAAAGAAACAGTTATGAGTTACCCCACTCTCGCTTGTTGATCCTCTGTGCTTTGATCATCTGTGTGTCCAGTTCACTGTCTCAATTCCCACTGTTTGGAACACTGACAGTAGTAGTTTCCATTTTCCTACCTGGACCCTGACTACCGATGAGTGTGTATGTGCATTTGTGTGATAACTCAGTTTGTGTAAAATATTACATAAGCATACAGCACATGTGTGTATGTGTGTGTATTCATGTGGTAGGCATATAAGTGCATATAAAAGGAATTTGAAGGGCAGGGTTTCAAAGAGAGAGTAAAGGGATACTTTTAATTTTCCCTCTATATTATTTTTATTTTATTTTCATTAGTTTTTACAATAAACAACTTTGTAGTTTTAAAACACATGGTTCTCTTTGAATGACTCAAAGTTTCCTACCTGTCTGTCCACCTGGTGGCAGCTTTAATGTCCTCAAAGTTTTAACGTAGCTTCTTAGTATAGTCCCATGACTTTCCCTTATCCACACCTCTAGACAGTCCATATCCTCAAGTGATGTGAGAAATGTTTATCTACTTGGATCAATGAAAATATTTCAGGTTTCACTTTCTTGTGGAAGGTTCTATTTTGTTCAGTGTGACCCAGTAAATAACATATTTTCAACATTCACAGAGGATATAAAGTCGCTATATCATCATCTGATGTAAATGCATGCATTCTGCTACATCACATGTTAGACGATTCAAATGAATGTGAGAAGTATGAGCATGTTGTGTTGGTGAGCTTGCCATCTCGTTAGTGGTTTTTTTACTGCTAAAGTTTGAAAAGTGCTAATCATCTAAGACAAAGCGACGCTCTTAAATTCATAACTGGTAAGGAAGGAAGGGCTTATTCATTATGTGTTGCTCTAACAATTTTATAATACTTAAGAGCCCAAATTATTTTGATGGCTCTAATTTCACCAGTACGTTGTACACGACGGTCCCAGCTATATTCTGGAGATAAGAGTTTAGTGGGTTTATGGAGAAAGAAATACTTGTTCAAGTGACTCTCATCATGCCACACCGCTTCAATGTTATTTTTCTTATCAGTCATGATTCCTTTGAAGCACTCCCTGGCAATGTTGAGAACCTGAACGGGAGTACCACCAAATATAGCAGCATGGTAATAAAAGTCTCCCTGACCAATAGGTATATATGCTTCCGATAACTGATTTCTCTCATAAGGAACCTGTACAGGATGTGCCTTATACCAGTAACAATGTAACTGAGCTACTGACTGCCCCAGGGTCTCCAACCCATATTTCTGCGTGAAGACTTGGTCCACGTCCATGCAGAAGAGAAAGTCGACTTCGTATTGGATATGATCTACAACATGTTCGCTGATGGTCTTCATGCGCATCATGCTAACATCTTGCCATCTCTTCTCTCGCTTAATTTCGAAAACTTTGATTGTACGGAGGGGACTCAGCTCTATCCAAGGCACCTTGGAGAAGTTGTCTGTCAGGACATAAATTATGACTCTCTGGCCAACCATAAAATAATTATTAGCAGATAACATAAAGTTGAACAAATAGGTTTCAATATATCTGTGAAGTAAAAAAAAAGAAACAATTAAGTTTATTTTCTTATATTTTAGGTCAAGGGTGTCAAACTCGTTTTCACAGGGGGCCACATCAGCCACACCATTACCTTCAAAGGGCTGAATGCAATTTTAGGGCTGTATAAATGTAACTACCCCTTAACAGTTAAGCGACTTAACAGTCGGCACTGCCACCAGGTAGAAACAGGGTGCCAAGTGGGATAAAACAAGGTGGAGGGTCGGATTTGGCCCTCAGGCCTTGTGTGTACCACCTGTGTTTTAGTGGGACACACACTATTTAAATTACACTGACTATAGTTTATCCGAAAATGCTACTAAGCAACCAAATGTTAAATATGCTTCTTGAGCTGCATTTAAGCAGTGTAAAGGAAAGTGAAATTATCCACCTTTCCTCTCCCCAGCGGGGTTCCAAGGATCATGGGAGAGGAGTTCCTCACAAGAGCGAATGAAAGTTGGTGAGATCAGGAAACTGCACGGAGCCAGAGTTTTCAGAGTTATCAGAGCACCAGGACCTTGCTTTGGAGGTTGTAGGCAAGAACAGTCTTGGGTCATTGCATTGATACCTGTGGCTTGCTCCAGGAGCAGTCAGGTATGCATAAAGGGTCAGAGGTGGGGTGATTCATACCCCACTGTCTGCACTGACTTCCTTATTTTGCAGTGTAGCCTTTAATGTGGTGCTAAGATTACTGGATTGGAAAATAAACTTTCTCATTTCCAGTCTCTCAAGCCAGGAAAAGAGTCTCAGGGTAATAAATAATCTCAGGTAAATTTTAGAAAGAAAAGGTAATCATATGTGGCTCAGCTTCAAATAATGTTTATATAATCTTTAAAATCAAGTTCTGGGAATTTATCTAAAGAAAACAAAGACACTAATTGGAAGAGATATATGTACCCCATGTTCACTGCAGCACTATTTGCAATAGCCAAGCCTAAGCGTCTGTCAACAGATGGACGCATAAGGAAGATGTGGTTTATATTCATATACAATGGACTATTATTCAGTAATAAAAAGAATGAAATCTAGGAAGCTAGCAACTGAAATTCAAAGAAGCCCAATTTATTAACATCTCTTTTCTGGTTAGTGCTTTTGTGTCATGTTTCCGAAATCTTTGCCTCCTCAAGGTAGTGAAAATCTGCCATTTTTTTTCAGTAGCTTTATTGTTTGATCTTTCACATTAAGCCTATTATCCATCTGAATTAATTTTTTAGTGTGGTGTGATATAGGGCTGTTTTCTGTCAGTCTCAGCCTATTGATAGGGATGCGATAGCCTAGGAATCCTTGGAGCCATTTACCTGGGCTCCTCCTACTTGCGGTGAGACCCCCACCGACATTTCCCTAGCAACAGTGCCGCTGACCCAGCTCCGTGGTTCTTATTATGATTGCAAGGTGCACTTCAGAACAGCCACCAGGGAGCTTTGAAAAAACAAGTGTCACAAGTCCTGGAGGGTACACAGTGTGCCCCGAACCACAAGACAGGGAAGCAGGGGCGGAGGGAGAGAGCAAACTCAGACCTGGGATTCTGCCTTTGATGGGGTAGGAGGGGTGTCCAACCTTTTGGCATCTCTGGTCCACACTGGAAGAAGAAGAGTTGTCTTGGCCCACACATTAAATACACAAACACTAATGAAAACTGAGAGCAAAAAAAAAAAAAGGTTTTAAGTAAATTTATGATTTTGTGTTGGGCCGCAATCATAGCCGTCCTGCACCTCATGCAGCCCCCGACCCATGGGTTGGACACCCCTGGGAGAGGATGGGGTGCCTGGGGTTTCACAAATTTACTAGCAAATTTAAAGCATAAGAGTGGAAATTAAAGTCTGGGAAGGAAAAAGTGGGATTACTCAAGGGGTCAGTTACCAAGGTTCCCCCGGGCTTTGTAACAGGGAAATTTTGTGGGTGGGGTGGCTGGCTCTTTGTCCAGCTGTTTAGCAGCTACCCAAGGCGCAGATGGCAGTGTGCTTATTGGAGGTGGCTGTCTGAAAAGGGTGCCCCAGCAACCAAAAGCTTCATGTCAGGCATTCATAATCAAAAAAGCTTATGGTCAGGCACTAAACTGCAGTGGAAAACTTAATTTCTTTTGATTTTTTAAAATCCTTCTATTTTGGAATGTCACTAGATTTACTCAAAGATGCAAATATATTATAGGAGGCTCCCACAGATACTTTACCCACCTTCTCCTAATGTTAACATTTTATAAAACCATAGTACATTTTTCAGAACTAGGAGATTATCAGTGGTAAAATACTATTAACTAAACCACAGATTTATTGGGGTTTCACCAGTATTTCCCCCAATGGCCTTTTTTAGTTTCCAGGATTAATTCAGGACGCACATTGCCTTTAGTCCTTATGTCTCCTTAATATCCTCTAACCTGTGTCAGTTTCACTCCTTGTTCATGACCATGACCACGACCATTTAAAGAGTCCTGATCAGGTTGTAGAATGGCCATCAATTCAGGTTTTTTTCTGATTATTTCCTAGTTAAAGTTAATTTTAATAGAGTCACATTTATCAGTCTTCCCCTTTGTTAATATTTTCTGTCTTTAAAAAAAATACATGTATTTATTTCAGAGAGAGGAAGGTGGGGAGAGAGAGAAACAGTGATGGGAGAGAGAAACATCAGTTGGTAGCCTCTCACACATGCCTGACTGGGAATCGAACCGCCAACTTTTTGGTGTGGGGGACAATGCTCCGACCAACAGTGCAACACCAGCAGGAGCTATTTTGTGTCTCTTGATTAAGAAATCCTTTTCTGTTCTAAGTTTATGAAGATAAACTATAGTTCTCCTTTAACTTTTCATCTTTGAACTACCTGCAACTTAATGTTTGTATATACTTTCATATGGTAGGCTATGGAGGTACAATTCTAATTTTCCCACAGTGGCATCGACTTTCTGCAGCACCATTTGTGGACATCTCTCCCTGCAGATGTACAATGTCATTGCCAGGAAGTATTTCTTCTTTCCCTCTCTCCTTCCTTTGTTCCTTCTTTTCTCTCTCCTCTTCCTCTCCCTTTCTCTCTTCCTCCCTTTTCTCTATTTTTTCTTGATAAAGAATACATTAATATCAATACTTAATACCAGATTACTATAAACTTTATAATTTTAATTAGTAATAGATACATTGTTCAACTTCATACTTTCTTGCACTTTTTTGTATGATTTTGTTATCAGGGCAGCACTTGCTTCATAAAATGAACTGGGAAATGTTCCCTCTTCTTCTGTTTTTTGTAAGAGACTGTGCAGCATTGGTGTTAATTCTTCCGTAAATATTTGCTAGAATTCTCCCATGAAACTATCTGGGCCTAGAGATTTTTGGAGTTTTTAAAATTATGAATGCTATTTCCTCATAGCTGTCAGGCTATTCAAATGGTCTATTTCATGTTGGTTGAGTTATGGTGGTTTGTGGTTTATGTTTTGCAAGGTCCATTTTATCTGATTTGTCAAATGTCTGTATATAGAGTGTTGTATAGTATTCTCTGGTCATCCTTTTGATATCTGAGGGTCTGAGATAATATACTCTGTTCCCTTCCTCTTATTTGTAATTCGTATCATTTCTTTTCTTTGTCCGACTTCCTGGATGATTGTGAATTTTATTTTATTCTGAGAACCAGCTACTCGTTTCACTGATTTTTCTCTATTGCTTTTCTGTTTTCAGTTTCATGGGTTTCTGTTCTTTATTATTTCCTTACTTCTGCTTGCTTTGGCCTCATTTTGCTCTACTTTTTCTAGATTCCTAGGATGGAATTATTGATAATCTCTCATTTTCTACACTAAAAATCCTGAATGTAAAGGACATTTGGTATTTCCTACCTTCCCACAGCAAACACAGTTAGCCCCACAGTAATTTTATGATTTGCATAATACTCTTCCAATACTTCTTCTTTGTAAGTGCCATGCCACACAACTGGGGCTGACCAGTGGGTAGTTGCATTCATGGATGCTCTGTAAGAAAGACATAAAAATTACAAACAAAATATTTTTTAAAAATTTCAGTAGATAGGACTTCTGTATAAGTCTTATCTGGTTGCAGCATTCCCTTACTCTTAACCATAAGCCTTAATGGTTACAACTGGAGAAACAGCTTGTAAGAATGGCCAGATCATTACAAAAGTATATGTACAGATTTGTTATATAGTGATTCCAAGACCTTTGAGGACACACAAGTCTAAAGTAACCATTTGTCTTATATTTGGACCAAATCTCGGTCCTAGGCTTTTGGACATTGATTATTTTCAGAAATTATATTTTGAAAACTGAACTTCCCAGTTTTCATAATCTCAAATGTTTTCAATGCTAGTGCTACTATGTACTGCCAAAATCGACTTTGTCAGACCTCTGAAAGATAGCCAAAGTTTTAGAGCAATTAAATGAAGTTAAATCAAGAAAAAGATGATTCAGTATGGTAGGAGTAGGAGAGCTTTGTGATATATTTTTTTTTAACTTTGCCTTGCACCAGTATGACAGTGCGAATTATGAAACAGCAAAGTATGTTCTTAGTGTGGGTATCTGAGTCCAGAGGGAGAAGAGCAGGTCTAACTCTCAAAAGATTTTGCTTGTTTTGAGAGTTTCCTGAAGGACTGGCTATATCACTTAACTCAGAACTCTCTGAGAACAAAAAAATGGCTAAGTGAATGTTTTCGTTGTTCTTTGAAAACATTTTGAAGAGGAGCAATGAACACCTGCCACCTGGGGCAAAAGATTATGGTTTGAAATAAAAACTAGGTATGCTGAAAGCCTGGGAGGAAAAGTCTGTAAGAGAGTTCTTTGAAAAGTAAGGGCTTTGACAAGATCCCATGTATAATGTGGAATTGAGAAATCCATGCATCTGTTCAGGGCACGATGTATGCTCAGAAAAGATCTGGGAAGACCCAGTAATTTCATCTCCTGCTGATATTCAGGCTCAATGTAAGCCAGAAGTGAAGGCTACAGTATAGTTGAAAATTACTGGGCTGTGTTGAAGGAGGGTCCAAATACAGAGCCAATCTTCAAAGATTCTGAGTTTTTTCTTCTTAGTTTTCTTTTCTTTTCCTCCTCCTTTTGCTCCCCCTCCTTTTTCTTTTTCTTTTTTTCCTCCTGCCCTCCAATATTCTACCAGACCCAGCTTTACTGAAATCTCTGTGAAACCATTATCTGACCAAAAGCTAAATAAACAGGGACTTCTAAGGCCAAACAAGACAAAGAATACAATCTTTTAAAGATTGTTTAGAAAGGTTACTAAACAGAAATACCTACAACCCACAGCTAGCAAGAACAACAAACTATAGGGAGCGAAATAATCTGATTTCCAGAGTGAGCGCATTGTAATATTCAAAATGTCTAGTTTTCAACCAAAAATTATAAGGCATGCAAAGAAACAAGAATGTATGGCCCGTTCAAAGGAAAAAAAGTAGCAAAAACTGTCCCTGGGTAAGCCCTGACATTGGGCTTATTAGACAAAGACTCTAAATCAACTATTTTAAATATGCCTAAAGAGCCAAAGGAAACTATGTACAAGGAACTAAAGGAAATGCAGAGAACAGTTTTTCAACAGAGAGTCACATTAAAATTACAAAAAGGAGCCAAATAGAATTTCTGGAGCTGAGATATGAACAAAACTCACGATAGGAGTTCAACAGCAGATGTGATCAGGCAGAGGAATCGTCCATACACAGGGCACTCTAACAATAGAATGCATGTTCTCAAGGATATGAAACATTCTCAAGGATCATATATTAAGCCATGAAACAAATCTCAATAAGCAAAATGGTTGAAAACATACAAATTATCTTTCCATTGACAATGGTCTGAAATTAGAAGTCAATAGCAGAAGTAAACCTGAAATCTCTCCAAATATGTGGGAATTAAACAACACTCTTGAACAACCAATAAGTCAAAGAAGAAAATCACAAAGGAAATTAGAAAATACATTGAGAAAATACAACATACAAAAATGTATGGGGATGCAATAAAAAGCAGTACTCAGAAGGAAATGTATAGCTGTAAATATTGTATTGAAAAAGATGAAATATCTCATATCAATAACCTCACTTTCCACTTTAAGGAACTAGAAAAAAAGGAGCAAACCAAGCCAAAAACAAGCAGAAGGGAGACAAGGACTATAGAAGAGACAACTGCCAGAGAGAAAGGAAAATAATAGAATCAGAGAAACCAAACGATGGTTCTTTGGGAAGAACCACAAAATTGACAAACCTTCAACTAGTCTGGCTAAGAAAAAACCAGAGATGACTCAAATCATTAAAATCAGGAATGGAAATGGGGACATCATATAGACCTTACAGGTATGAAAATGATTATAAGAAAATATGATAAACAACATACACCAACATCTTAGATAACCTAAAAGAAATGGACAAATTCCTAGAAATACACAAACTACAAAAACTGGTTCAAGAAGAAATAGAAAACCTTAATAGACCTATAACAAATAAAGAAATTGAATTGGTAATTGAAAATCTCCCAGCAAAGAAAATCCCAGGACCAGATGGCTTCACTGGTGAATTCTATCAATGATTTAAAAAACTAACAGCAATTATTCTCTAAGTTTTCCAAAGAAGTAGAAAAAAAGGGAATACTTTCTAACACAGTCTGAGGCCAGCATTAAACATCTCAAGAAAAGAAAAATATACACCAAAATCTGTTATGAATGTAGATGCAACAATGTAAAACACTATATTAAGAAAATGAAAGAAAAAGCACAATGTTTCTTCATTGAGGTAGAAAAGGCTTTGACAAAATCCCACACTTTTTCATAATAAAAATACCCAAATAGGAGTAGGAGGGAACTTCCTCTATGTGATAAAAAACATGTAAAACCCACAACTGACATCATACTTATTGTCGAGAAACTGAGAGCTTTCCCTCTAAAATCAGGAATAAAACAAGAATGTCTGTTTTACCCACTTCCATTTAACATTGTACCAGAAGTTTGGCCAGAGAAATTAATCAAGAAAATGAAATAAACAGCATCCAAATTGGAAAGGAAGAAATGAAACTATCACTACTAAGCAGAGAAAATTCTAAGAAATCTGTAAGATCCACATGCAAAAGTCATATGTGTTTCTGTATATGAGAAATGAACAATCCAAACATAAAATTTAGAAAACAATTTCACTCACAATAACATCAAAAATAATAAAATATTTAGAGATAAATGTGACCTAGAAGCTGTAAGACTTTTACAATGAAAATTACAAAACATTGCTGAAAGAGATTAAAGAAGGCCTAAATAAATAAAAAGATATCCCACGTTTACGGAACAGAAGGCTTAATATTGTTAACTTGGCAATACAGCCCCAAGTGATCTACAGATTTAGTGTAATCTCTCTGTAATGGGTTTAATTGTGTATCCCCCCTTGCCCCCACCACTGGAATTCAGATCCACGTGGAACTTCAGAAATTACCTTATTTAGAAATATCTTTGCAGATGTAGTTAATTTTAATAAGGTCATTCCAAAATAGGCCAGGCTCTGTATCCAATGACAAATGTCCTTATAAGAAGATGAAAGGACACATTGAGAAGAGACATAGATAAGAAGGCCATATGAAAAAGAGGCAGTGATTGGAGTTACGCTATCACAAGCCAAGAAATCACAAGCCAAGAAATGCCTGGGGCCACCAGAACATGGAAGAGGCATGAAGAACTCTTCCCTAAAGCTTTTACAGAGAGTATGGCCCTGATGTCACCTTCATTTTGGATTTCTGGACTCCAGAACTGTGATGAAAAAATGTTCTGTTGTTTTAAGCCACTCAGTTTGTGACAGCCCTAGGAAACGATCAATTTTCAACTGCCTTTTTTTAAATATAAAAATGGACAAGTTGCACCTAAAGTTCACTAGGAATTGCAAGGGGCTCTAAATAGCTAAAGCAATCTTGAAAAAGAAGAATGAAGTTGGAGGATTCACATTTCTTGACTCCAAAACTTACTACAAAGATATAGTAATCAAAACAGTGTGGTTATTGGCATAAGGATAGACATAAATTAATGGAATGTAACTGAGTCTGTAATTAAACTCATACAACTATGATTAATTGATTTTAAATAAAGGTCACCCCTGGCTGGTGTGGCTCAGTGGATTGAGTGCGGGCCTGGGAACCAAACAACCACGGTTCGATTCCTGGTCAGGGCACATGTCTGGGTTGCAGGCCAGTTCCCAGTGGGGGACACATGAGAGGCAACCATACATTGATATTTTTCTCCCTCTCTCCTTCCCTTCCCCTCTAAAGATAAATAAATAAAATATAAAATAAATAAATAAATGTCAAAGGCAATTATGGTTAAATAAGGTCATAATGGTGGGGCCATAATCCAAGAGGATTTGTGTCTTTACAAGAGGAGGAGACACCAGGGATGTATGCCTACAGAGAAAAGTCCGTGTAAGGACACAGCAAGAGGACAGCCATCTGCAAGCCAAGAGGAGAGACCCCAGGACAAACAAAACTTGCCAGACACCTTGATCTTCAACTTCCAGCCTTCAGAAGTAGGAAAAAACCCTAAATTTCCATTGTTTAAGCCACACCTTCCATAGAAAAAAATAGAAAAAGCAATGAGTGTTGAGTTTGATTTAGTAGCCTATTAAGAACCTTTTTCAGTTGTAAGGTTTTCTCCTTTGTTCAGTTGTGGGATGAATCATCACCTTGAATTACTAGGCTGTGCTTTACTTCTCTTAGTGGGAATCTGTGTGAGTTATTAAGCTCTTACTATTTTTGATAACTAAACCCACCACCCTATATTCTACTTTATTAAGCTGACCTTGGACTTTGCAAACCACATCCTGTGGGATTCTCGTCTGTGTACTGTTCCTGCACGTCCCGTTCCAGCAGTGCGTCTTCACCACCACGATAGCAGTTCCCTTACAAAGCAGCAGTTGAATCCAGCTTTCTGGTTCTCCAACATTTACAAAACCAGTCTTACTGTGCTCCTTAGAGGTCTGGTTCC